ATTCAAATGGAAGGAGATAAACAAAAGGTGACAAGATATCACCCCCAAAATAACACCCAAGACCCACCAAAGTACAGCCCTTCAACCGTAGTTTTTAATTACAAAAGAAATGATGACAACAAAAACCAAAAGAACAAAACAAAACCCTGAACCCAATCAAGACCGAAAAACCCTTTAATAGGTCCACCCAATAAGGTCCTTGCAATAACATGTTCCTCAGGAATCCTTCCAGACCTTTTTTCATTCAACGGATATCTCTCCTCCAGGTTCTTGAACAACTTCCTTGTCATTTCTTCCCCTCCTTACACCCAAAGTCCTAAAGCCTTGTTGGCTTGAATTGCAGTTTCCACTTCTTGTCCACATCTACTCTCTTTTCTACCTTTCTAACTTTGTCCAACAACTCTCCCTCCTCTTCTTGCTCCTCATCAGAATTTCTTCCTCTGAGATCTCCTCTTCCTCAAATTTGTTCTCTTCGTCTATGGTGTCTTCCCCTAAACTAGCTTCTTGTTCCCTTCCCTGCCTCTCTTTGTAAGGGTCTTTCTAATTGATCTCTATGGAGAAGTCCCACAACCTCTTTTTCAACCTCAAACTTTGACTTATCATGGATACTACTTCCAGCAGAGTTTTTTTTTCTTTACTTTTGGTCTTTGTAACCCTTCTCTTATATGTCCTCTTGAATTTGCTGCAAGGGCCATCCCCAAAAATGTCTTCTTTCAATCGATGAAAAACTTTTGTTACATGAACTAATTGTCCATTGTTTGGAATTTTGGCCTTTCTCGACATAGCCTCAATCCTCAAAGGTTTAACATTCCCTTTTAACATAATTTTCTCTTTTCCTTCCTAAATCCACCCCTAACTTTCCAATAACAGCTTATCCCCCCTCTTTGTACCTAATTTTTCTAGTTGATTAATGAAAGTAATGTGTTATTGATAGAAAAAAATGATTTGGTTAAAACCCTTTCCCTAATGGAATTTTTCCTTCTTTTTCCGTATTCAAGTTGCTGACAATAGAGATCAAAATTGAGTCTTAAATGGTCAAAGCTGAAGTCGTTCTTAGCTCATTAAGTGTTGGTCTCCTGGTTTTCCTCTCTAACCCTCCCTTATCAAAACACAAACACTGCTGTTCACTGGTTCCCTAATGCACTTAGAATATAGAATGTTTGCCTTTACCTCCTTCTACTGTTTCTCCTCCCTGGCATCCCTTAAAACAACGTCTTGATCTTTACTTTCCCTTTCCTCCACTTGACTGTCTTCTTCTCTTGATTCACATCAACCAACCCTCCTCTTCTTCCCCCTCTTTGGCACTCTTGTTTCTTTTCTTCCATTCTCAAATCTTGTGATAACCCAAACCCAATCATCCTTTGGGCTTCCTTTCTTCTTGGTTGCCCAATTGAATAGTGGTCAAAGTCCCCACCCTTTTTGATTTTTTGCCTTTTTCCCATTTTCCTTTCCCCTTTAAAATCCCTACCTCTTCCTTTGGTGACTCGTAACATCTTTTATTTCTTTTTTATTGCAGTAGTCGGTGGTCCCCACTTGAACCTCTCACCTCCCTCTTACTGAGTACTGCCTGTTCCCCTTCTCCTCTCGAAGCCCTGACACTTGACTCTTTGGACCTACACTCTCTTAGTATTCCCCGCCTCCACGTGTCTTAGTCTTTGCAATTTTGCCTCCAACCCTCCAAAATTACTTTGTTTCCCTTTGAACATGCCACCTCATTGTCTTTAACTTTGGTTGGCTCTTCATCTCCCTGCTCTTGTCTGTTTCAGCTTCCTGATTCTTCCCACCATTTTCTCCCCTCCCCCGTCTGTCCTCATTTGTTTCACCTCTAGCGTCTTCTTTACTCACTTGCAAGGAAGTCCCATCCTCTCCCTCTGAGATTACTCTATGATCATTCCACATTACCATTCCCCTACAAATTGAAGCTTTATATTGTTTGGAATACTAGAAACATATTCAATCTCCACTAGCATTCTTGATGTATTCAACTTACCCCAAGTTATATTATTGTCATTGTGCCTTAAAAATTTCCCATAACCTTTCTATTTATATTAGGGCGACCCAGTAATAATAAAACATAATGTAAAAAGACAATGGCACCCTTGAGGCACTAAAATACAACCTATTTGACAATTTTAACGCTCTTCAAGTTGAGACATAGATGTCAGTCATCCTCAACTTGAAACAAAAGTCATTGTGTCGCAAGTGATATAGGACCTTTGTGAAGATATCTGCAAATTTCTCTTTAGAACTAACATAGGGAGTGCACACTTCCCCACTAACAAGTTTCTCCCTAATAAAGTGTTTGTCCACTTCAATGAGTTTTGTTCTATCATGAAGGACTGGATACAAGGTAATGGGACTATCAACTACAATCCCCAACTCACTCAACAAATTCTTTATCCACATAATCTTAACTACTCCATGGGACATTGTTCTGCACTCAGCTTCGGGACTAGACCTAGTCATCATGTTTTATTTCTTGCTTTTCCACATGACTAGGGTTCCCCCCACTAAGGTACAGTAACCACTAGTGGATCTTTTGTCATCAATTGATCCAACCCAATCAGCATTTGTATACACTTCAACCTCCAAATGCCCATGTTTTCTGGAACAACAAACTTTCCCCTAGAAACCTCTTGAGATACCTGAGGATCCTCTTAGCTGCCTCTAAGTGAGTCTTAGGGGCATGCATGCACTGACTAAAAACACCAACAACATAAGCAATGTCAGGTCGGGTCATGGATAGATATAAGAGCCTTCCCACAAGTCTTTGGAATTGTTCCACATCTACGGTCTCACCATGGCAGTCACCCAATCTGTGATTTTGATCGATAGGAGAGTGAGCCGACTTCACTCCTAGCTTTCCTAAATCCTACAACAGATATAGGATGTATTTCCTTTGTGAAATGAAGATCCCCTTTAGTGGCCTCCAAGTGTTGGAAGGTTGGTAAAATCCTTCACAGCATTCAGTCACCACAAACAAGAAACTTATCTTGGCATACAACCGATAAATAAAAAGGGAAAAAAGTGCAGAACTGCTCTCAGACCAATCTGATGCGTCTTTTCTTGAGATTGATCTGGAAATCAGCAAGAAAGAAGAAGAAGAAGAAGAAGAAGAAGAAGAAGAAGAAGAAGAAGAAGAAGAAGAAGAAGAAGAAGAAGAAATTGGATGAATCTGTCTTCAGGCCCACAATATCCGCTCTGATACCATGTTTTCTTGATGAAGGTAAGTGAAAAGGAGAAAAGAAGAAGGAAGGAAGGAAGAAGAGAGAAGAGGAGAGGAAGAGAGAAATAGAGATTAGAGGGTAAAAAAATGAGCTGGTGGCGCCAACCTTTCTATTTATATTAGGGCGACCCTGACCCAACAATAACAAAACATAATGTAAAAAAACAATGGTGCTGTTGCATCACTATAATACAAACTGTTGACAGTTTTAACTGTAAGCAAGGCTTGAAATATCAATACGTATTGTAGTGAGGGCTTCCCGATATGCTCCTACAGGGGGTGTTTCGGGGTTTAACCTGGTTCCGGAGGTAGACAGGCCTTAAACCGACCCCTCTGAACCAGGTTAAAAAAACTAAAAAAGAAAGGGATCGGGCCCCGATACAGTCCAATACACCCCTACCGGCATATCGGGTTGTATTGATATTTTGAACCTTGACTGTAAGTATACTCCAGGCATGCAGAGGATGCCCATCACCCCTAACCGTACCACACATCTTCTTCTTCACCAATTGCCCCTACCATCAGAAACCACCAACTTAGATGAAGGTTAAGTTCTCTTGTCTTTGATCTTTTGATTTCTAAAGCCCACTCAGCCCCATCTCTGTTATGGATAAATAAAAATAGGCTGCCATTAAGCTTCCTCATGCCCATCATTCTCTCTTTTCCCCATTTTGAGTTTTAACCACATCAGTTAATATATCTTGGATGCATGCTGAAGTAAGTGGAACATACCAATCCATGAATCCATTAAGACATGGCACTAAAACAGTGAAAATGGATTTGGTATATTGAAAAGGAGAAACAGGTTTGATGGGCCGAAACAAATCCTGTCACATGATCCATGTGTCTTTCCATGCCTATCATAGAAAACATGCATACTGATGAAGTCTCTTCACATTTCAATGGCATAAGGGTAGGAAAAATCAGCATTTAAACTTATACCTTGTATCAGATGAGAGACATGTTTGTAACAATATGAGGAACCCAAATACCTAATGTACTCAATACTAGATTGAGAAACATTATGTTTTTTTCTCATTGGAGAGTTGCAGATGTTGTGCTAGGTAAAGGGAAGATCTTAGTATTATCCTTCTCATTGATTTCTTTATTCTCTTTTTTCTTAAATATTAATAGCTTGTGCTTTTGGTTTTGCAATTTCTACCATGCCATTTTCCTTTGTGCTCGTTTTTTTTTTGTTACTGTGAATCTACAAGGCCCCCTACTCTATTTTGAATTGCAGAGAGATACTTAAGTAGTATGTTGAGTCCATAGATCACTACATTTGTGGGAATTCAACTTATAGCACCCCCCCCAAAAAAAATAAAAAATAAAATAAATAAATAAATAAAGAAAGAAAGAAGAAGAAGAACAAAAAAAATACAGGCCTAACCTCTGGTATGTTTTTTTAACAGATAGTTATCCATAATCATGACTTGTTTCTACTTAGCATTTTCACCGTCCTAATCTTTCTTGATTTTCATCTTGGATCCAAATTATGAGATACTACATAGACATACTGTGGTTTTAACTTGACCTTCGTAGGTGTTTATGAAAATTGTGTAGTGCTGCCTGCAACCTTTGTGATTTTACAAATGAAATTAGCTCTCTTATATGTTAAAAAAAAAAAAAAAAACGCTCTCTTAACATTGTTCTTCAAAGCGAGTAAAAGTCTGATTGACCATGTTGTGCTAAATAGGGTCAATGTGTGACTTTTTCCAACTATTTCAATTCAGCCATCAAGACGCATTAAATTACCTGGTAATCTGTTTTGCAGGATATATTAAAGATTTTCAAGTATTTGATCCACAAAGAGTGGGTAAGATAACTGTTGAATTACAAGGCAGGGTCAATGACTGTCGGGCCCTCACGTATCGACAAGACATCAAGGCAAGGTACATTGAAGAGTATAGGTTACGCACACTTCCAACACAACAGGTGTGTATATTTTTTTTATGGGAAATTGGTCAGTGATCAACACCTAGTTGTTGTCCCAGATTCAGGGTACTAAGCATTTAGTGAGCTTCCGTAAATAATGAAAGAATGACGTGATGAATTACCCTGGATCTTAACAGGAGTCTCTGAGTTCCTCTATCCATCCTGTATTTATGGAAAAAATTGTCCCAAAACACTGACATTTTTGCAAATGAAACTACCATAGAAAGTTATATTAAACAGATAGTGTGGCTCATTTGGTGGAATTAGGTTTTGGTCAACTACCCATCTACCCCTTTTGTCAAATCAAATACAGTAATTCTTAACATCTTTTTCTTTCTTTTCTTCCCGTTATTTTCATTTTTTATTTCAGCAGTTTTGGTATCATGTGGTGCATCTTGAATCCTTAACCTTAATGGTGGTGGCTCAACCCTTTTGTTAGTGAAACACATTACACTTGAAAGAATAATCCAGTTTTTTGTTCCATTAATATCTTCAAAGCTTGTGGCGGCAGTAAGGCACAACCCACCACAGGCATGATGATAAAATAATTTTTTAAGGTTATTTTTCATCGGCCACCCTATTTATATTAGTCGATTTGTAGCTTATCTGCCTGCTAGCATTTCTTGTCTAATAAAATACAATATCAAATATGCTGGGGTGGGGTGATGCCCATAGAAATGCTCATCTTTTGGCACAAGTGTTTTAGTAAACATTGAACGGTAAATGGTTAATATTGGTTGTAAAAGCTACCAAGACAAGGTGGGTCATCTGTATGACATGGACTATGAGACTGAACATGTGGCCAAAGAGTGGGCTACTTGACCTGAATTATGTATGTATGCATGTATTACTCGTGAAAAAACATTTATCTTCTTTTCATCTCCTATACACTTGCTGTTTCCTTATGCAGTGGGGTTATGTTGTTATTACAACTCCAAATGGTGTTCTGGATCATGAAGAGGCCATCAGACAGAATGTTGGAGGTCAAGTTCTTGGTTATTTTTATTAAATGTTTATGTGGTAGGACAAAAAGAGAGATGATTTCTCATGTCTTTTGTGTGAGAGACTAGTTATTCTGATAAGAGGTTAGCTTCCCTCTGCTCACCAGTTGTGCTCAGCACCTTTTATCAATTGATGATAATATCAAACTTCGGTTCTTTGTTCCAATAATTCTTGAACATCAATGTTAGATATTTATACTTCAGCATGACAATATCACTCTCTTTTGATGTGGAGGGCTAGGTTGGCTATAGACATGGCAGACACGATCTTGATCACCAAACCAGAATTTACACCAGGTCTGGTGGAATCTACGTTCCAAAGTTTGCAAATTATTGTAGAAATATTTATTTTTATCTCTTTCATTGATTTGAGCAGGCTAAAAATCCTTCCAAGCATATAGTGGTTGCGAGCTGTCAATTGTGAAAAGTTGACCGAAGCTCTGCCCAATGAAAATGACAGTTGACGGGTCAGAATTGATGAACATCCTTGCATTCTTTTGTCCCTTGGTACTGAAAATTGGAATAATGCCATTTTCTTTTGGGGGAAATATGCTAGGAAGGTATGATTCAATTTGCTGTGCCAACAAAGGATGGTGCAGTAAGCTCTTTGCACCGGTTTTATTTGTGGGGCTATGCCAAATTCTAAATCTAGCAGAAACTAAAGTTTGTTTCACTTAAAACGTTATTAGTTAAAAACAAAATGAAAATTTCTTTATATTCTTTCTAGTGAGAATCCTAACAGCAATAAATTTTGTGGGGTAATTATTTAAACCTCTCCTGTGTCTTGTGACAAATGCTTTCACCTCTCCAAACTCCTCTGACATATGGGAGAAATTATACAAATAGACGATAGTTTGACGTTAAGAGAATGATGCCATGCTTTTAAGTATTTAACAATTCGTATTCGCTCATGTCTGATAATATTGGGGGTGTTTAATAACCAAAATTCGCCCCCCCCCCCTCAAAAAAAAAAAAAAAGCTATTGGGGCTATTTGGTCGGTAAACAACACTTAAATGTCATTCATGGGAAAATTGGAAATTTTGAAGAATTTATAACATTACACCATTTTTCTGTTGAAGTCTAATGTCAAACTAATGGAAGCTATGATTTCTCCCGTATGTCAAGGGAGTAACTTGGAAGATAATTCTGATTGTTTAGTTGGGAGGATAATTCTTTTATGATAATTTTAATTATTTAGTGAAAAAAATAAGAGAAAACAAATCAAAATTGAAGAGAAGAAAAATGCTTGGAAGAGGACTACATCATGGGCTGTATTGTTGTTCCACCAGATTTTGTTGTGGCTATAATTTATGGGTGCATGCAATTAGAGCAAAATATTTAGAGCCAACAAAGGAATGTTCCTAGCCTGGAAGGGAATCCTTGAAGGGTGTAATCTAATTAGAAGGGAACTGAATGTAGTACTGTAGGAAATGGGAAGATATTCTGTTCTGGATGGATAACTGGGGAGTTGAGAACATCTCACATGAATGATAACATACAAATACAGGAAATGTTCTCAATGTATGGCTGATACATGCTGTGAGGAGCAGATTTGGACCTAAGAATCAAAGCGGCCTTACAAACTTGGACCTAAGAATCAAAGCTGAAACAGTTCATTGACCAAGCTACCCAATCTTGGGGATATAAGAAAACTTCAAGAAATGGTCCCGCACTCTTACTCGAGCTAATTAACTTGTGGACAAAAGGTTGGAAGATTGATCTAATATGCTCTCTTTGTAACCATGAAATTGAGGACATGGTGCATTCGTTTGCTGGATGTAGAATGAAAAAACAAGTGTGGCAGTTGTTGACCAATTTCCCATAGGCCCTAAAGATAATGAGGACATTACCAATAATCGGTTAAAAAGACTAGAATCGAGTCCTCATAAAAAAGAACTCCGGGAGAAGGCTGCATGTATTATTTGGAGTGTTTGGAAAAAGAGAAATAGTGCGGTTTATGACAAAATTGATTAAGAAATAGTCATTAGTTTTATACTAATTATTAATTAATATTTAACTTTTAATTAAATAATTAATTATAATAAATTACAAGATAAATAATAGTTAATTAAGGATTTATATATTGGAAAAACTTGTAACCAATCAATTGATTTCAAGCAATCAGGTTTCATTTCAAAAAAAAAGTCAGGTTGTATTTATTAAAATTCACAAGGTTTTGATTGGTCAAAGCCCTTCCAGTACCAAGCGGGATCTGCTCTTCACAGGCATATCCACCGTGCATTGAGAACATTTTCCGTGAATAATAACTAATAAGTATGAGAGATGTTCCTATGCATGATAGGATGGACGTGTGAGGCACCTGTGAGGCGCCAGTTGTGAGGAACAGATCCGATCTCTGTTTTCTGGCAGTATAGATTGTTGGTTAATTAATTAATTATTAAAACATTTGTTTGAAAGGATTTTTGACCAAAATAAAATTGTAAATTTCATCAACTATTTTGTGTGGGGTGGGGGGGAGGGTAGAGATGGCAATTTCACCTGTCCCCATGGGCCTTGCCCCACCCCAACCTGACTATATATAAAATATAATTATTAATATATGCTAATATATATTATGTTATAATATTATATTACATAATATAAAATAGTTTTAGATAGATTTAAAAAAATAAAAAAACAAATTAATAAGAAAAGCTAGCTTTCAACTGTTCAGGCATGAAAAGAAAAGCTAGAAGAAAGACCTGCACTAAACGCAGAAAACCCTCCAGCCGCACATTAAGAACATCGATCATTCATGGGGAGATGTTTCGCTGATGGTCAATAGATTCGAAGTCCGAACTCTGTATTTCGTAACAGTTGTTGGCTTATGGTGGTGGTTCATTAATCATGACCCTATCAGATAAGGAGCTTAATGTAGAGTGGATTGGGCTTGTGATAAGTACTAGAAGAACCCACAACCATGCCGAAGCCTTGTTTGGGCACGTATTGAGGGTTTGAGAGCTTAGATAAGTCCTTGTGGCTATTGGTCCATGGGTCGGTGGTCTTCTATTTGGTATATAAACTGATAACCACCAAAAATCTTACAACAAGCAAGAGGTCTTTAAGGAGTTCAAATCAGACCCACAAGATTGTCCCACAGCACATCTTGTGAGGGGCTGATTTGGTCTCGTCTTTAAGGCCCTTTCACTTCTTTATTAGTTACGAGGCACCATAGATGGCAGACACAAGATAAAAATTAATCTCTTTATCAAACTCAGATATATCCATTAGGCCTAGCTAATAATAATAGATATTTAACTGAAGCGTAACAATACTTGGAGCCAAAATAAAAAAAAAAGACTAAATATACAAGTGAAGACCGACCAAAATGAATAAACATGATGTAAAGAAATAAAATAATTTTTGAAGCCCGGAAGAAAAAAAGGATGTTGGGACAAGCTGCTCTTAAGACATGTTGGTGTTGGAGCATTCGGGAGGGAGGCCCTGAGGGAAGCGCTTTGTATCTGTGCAGTAATTGTAGATCATGTAATTCTTTTGCACCCATTTCATCTTCTCTTGACCAGCTGAGTCCAGCTCTTGCGAAAGCCACTGATGGGGATTGTTCGTCGTTGAAGTGGGAGATTTGGAGTCGCAAGAAGAGGAGCCTGAAGACCAGATGCAGGCGTTATTGGCATTGAAGTTTCTGTAGGAGGCTGTAAATGGTGCCTTTGTCCAATCGGTCTTGACAAGGCCACCCCTGGTGGCCCAGTCATCAGCATTCCATAGGCTGGAGTAGATCCTCATGGGCTGGTTCTTGGGGAATGGAACTCCAATGGATTCTGAGTTCTTGAATTCTCTGATGGGCGTTCCATCTACAGAGAAGATTATGCGTTGGGGGTTCCAAAGGATGGAGTAGGTGTGGAAGTCTGCTGTAGGATCGAACCAGAGATAGAATTGTTGCTCTCTGTTTCCCTTTCCCTGACTGAAGACATTAGTATGGAGAATATAAGGGTCGCCGCTGAGGTTGCCGAGGAATTCGAAGTCAATCTCGTCATGGGTCGGCCCCTGAGATGACAAGTAGTAGGCCGTGACCGTGCCGGCTGAGTTGCCGGGGACAAGCTTGAGCTGTATGTCTATCTTACCGAAGAGGTACTCGTGCTTGGATTGGAAGCCGGAGCCAGAGGCCTTGTCAAGGGACAGAGTCAGAAGCTCCCCATTGTTGAGTATCTTTGCTCGACCATCGCCCCATGAGACATCGAAATCTTGGTAAAAATTACTAGCCGAAGCAACAATAGCCAAAGAGCCCAAAACCAGTAGACAAGACAGAAACTTTAAGGAAAGCCCAGGAGAAGCAGAGGAAGAATAAGCCATTTTGTTGAGCAGAGTTTTGCTTAGTAGGACACAAAGAATTGAATGGGGAACTGGTTGCGAGTTCCAAGTGAAGTCTTGAGTCCTTTTTATAGGTAGTGGGATATGCAGAGAGAGGGAGAGGGAGAGAGAGAGAGGAAGGTTCGGACAATGTTCCTTTCTTTCATGCAAGGTCCTACATATATATATTAGCTAATGGCTACGGCACATTGAAGTGAAACTGGAAATAACATTCGTTTTGACTGTTGAACAAATGAACAATTCCCAGTTGTCACCCTCACCCAGTTTGGGCTTTTCTCAGTGGAGGTAAAACGAGAGTGACGCGGTTTTGGTGCAGGTGAAAAGGTGACAAAAGACGTGTCTCTGTCACCGCCATTAAACACAGGCAGCTGTTATCTATATATGAATGACCCTGGTTGTCACTTTCTACGTTCCGCCATGGATAAGGACAACAGCAATAGATCCTGATAGATCTTATTGGTGAGACCCCAAAAAGATCTAGTTGGTGCAGCAACTCTGCTTTGTGATCAGATATATATTCATTCCTCTTGTGGGCCTCTCAATGCAAACATGAACCGATTATGAATTAATTGTGTCTACAGAACAGTGTAAATTATCATAAATAAATGAGAAATATATTAAACATATTACAAGCTTCATGGTAATACTTATTTTTACAAATAATAAAATTAATTATTCCGAAATTTTGAAAAAAGAAATTGAGAAACATGACTAAGATTTCCATTGTTGTGTGAATAATCTGTAGTTAGTGGATCGGTCAGTAGGTAAGGACACGCTTAGTGGGGGCAGTGAAGGGTGCAGTAAAAACTAAAAACCATAGGCCATACCACTGAAAGATCAATATCTCCGCTTTGGGAGAGAGAAGTGACTATTTCAATTAGTTGGTCATTGGTAAATTTTGGAAACTTCTTTCCCACCTTTCAAATGGCAAATAGTTTCAAGCCCATCACTTTGAATTGGTCCAAGACTATGGACCTAGAACCATTTTCCAACCTTTTTGGATTAAGATCAAACCTGTTAGGATTAGGAGTCCATTCAGTATTATCTTATTTGTATATATCTTTTTATCCTTATCATGAATAGTTCAGATAGGATAGGAAAGATATATTTGAGTCCCTCTAAACTTAGGAGTTCCAGTTGCTATAAGCTTAGGAGGTTTGGTGGTTGTATTCATGTATATATATATACTTAAATTCTTAATGAATAAAATACAGAAAAGCATAAACCAAAAAAGCTCTGATTTCACATGGTATCAGAGCCACGAAATAGGAGTAAGAGGTCTGCGTTCCAAGACCTCTGGAGATCAGTGGCGGCAACAACGATTGTTAGGTGCCGGCAAAGGACAAGCTTTGCACTCCAGAATTTTGCGGGCTAACCTCTGCCTCTACTTCTTTCTCGGTTGATTCTTCTTCATTCGAGGCCTGCGGGGCATTTAATTGCAGAATTGGTGGTGCCTTGCTTAACATACACTGGTGAATCTCATCAATCAATTTCTGACGTTCTGGAGTTCCAAATCTGGGGGTTGTTTCACGAAATTTGATGGCTAATGCACATCTTTCTTCCTTCTTGTAATCCAATGAGCCTAGTACACCATCTGGGTTGGTGGGCATGAATGCAATCAATGCTACCAAAGCAGTTCTCACGCTCCAAGATGGCTACCAATGCTATGGATAATGATTGGATATGCTTAGACAAATCTTCGTCTGTGTTTCAAAACGACCATTAGGAGTTAACAGCATAAATGCAAGAGGTTGGAAAGGATATTCTGCTAGCAATTGGATCCGTCCGTGATAGATTCCTCCCTCGAACTCTGTGTCACGGGGACCTCTGATCGCAAACTGCCACTCAAATATATCGGAAGGGTTTGCTTGCATCTCCTTCACCTCCTAAAGGATCCTCTTCACCACTGGGTTCTTTAGGTTGTATTTCTCTTTTGCCATGGCATAAGATAGAACACACCCTTCGATTTGGCCGTGGAAGGGAGGACGACGGACGTCGACGATAAAGCCTGTAACAAAGGGACTCGGGGCGCTTGAAGGTGTGCTGCGTTCCTTTCCTCTGCTTCAGCCAGACGAACCCGACTTCCCTATTGTAGCCCACCTCCATGCCGTCCAGCAGCAACAGACCCTTGGGCAGCGATATCTCCTCTAGAAGCTGTAGTGGTTTCTCCTTGCAGAGAGCGTCTCCATGGTAGATCTCCGTCTTCTCTCTATAATTCTCAATCACTTGACTCGCCATTGCTGCTGTCTGAGCTGGTCGCTAAGGCTTAGTTGGGGGCAAGCAAAAACAAAATTGACTGAAGAAGAAGAAAGCAAGAAAGGAATACGGGTTTGAGCCTGAGCCCTCGGAACAGAAGTTCGGTCTCCTTCTACAGAAGTTCCGACCTTCGACTTTGGTCTTCTCTTGGACGGTTCTTCTAGTGCGAGTAACAGAGAACTCGGGTGTCCGTTCTCGAACGCACTGATTTTGGACAAGTCTCCGGCGAGTCAACGTTCTGCGGCAGGTTTTAGGGAGATCCTGAGATCGGTTCTTTGTCTCTTGTGGCACCGATCGTGGGCTTTCAGACACAATAGTCGACATGACTGAAAACAGAGCAGGGGCAGGAGGAAAAGGTCGTTGCGGCCAAGTCAAGGCCCATACATCCAAAGCCTCTACGCAAGGCAATGCGTCTCAAGGAGAATCAATTGATGCAGCCAAGACTGGGTTAAATGGACTGAGTAGTGAGCAGTGGAACATGTTACTCAACCTTTTGAACACACAAAAAGAGGGAAGTCAACGACTAAGTGGTAAGAAAAAATTGATAGAATGGATAATAGACATAGGGGCCTCTCATCATATGACAGGAAGCCTCGAGTTGATGAGAGACATAAAGAATGTTATTCCATGCTCTATTGGGCTACTAGACGGGAAAGCGATAATAGCAGAGAAAGAAGGCACAGTTGCACTGGACGATCATCTGAAACTGACTAGTGTTTTATATTGCCTAGTTTGAATTGCAATTTACTTTTCATATCGCAATTGATTAAGGAATCGAATTATATTGTCTAGTTCACTAACAAATTCTATGTGATACAGGACCGCACTACGAGGATGCTGATTGGAGCGGGTGAGCAGCGAGAGGGACTCTATTATTTCCAGAGCATTGCTTCAACAAGAGCAATGAAGACTACAGAAAGCAGGACGAATGGTGATATTTGGCATCAAAGGTTAGGGCATCCTTCTTATAGAATTGTTAAGTTGCTGAATTTTATTAGTACTAAGAATAATAATGATAACAATACTAAGGGTTGTGATGCATGCTTCCGAGCTAAACAATGTTGAGAAGAGTTTGATTCTAGTAATAATAAAGCATCCGACATTTTTGAGTTAATTCATTGTGATTTGTGGGGTCCTTATAGAACTGCAACTTCTTGTGGGGCTCATTATTTCTTGACCATAGTAGACGATTTTTCTAGAGGCGTTTGGATTTATCTTCTGGGTGATAAGACGAAAGTGGGACGGGTTCTTCGAAATTTTTTTGCTATGGTTCAAAGGCAATTTAACAAACCTATAAAGGTGATCCGTACTGATAATGGTATTATTCATCAAACCACTTGTGTTGGGACCTCTCAACAAAACGACAGGGTTGAACGCAAGCATTGCCACATACTCAATGTTGCCCGAGCTTTGCGTTTTCAAGCCAGCTTGCCTATTGATTTTTGGGGGGAATGTGTCCTGACCGCATGTTATTTAATCAATCGGACACCGTCCATTTTGTTGAAGGGAAAGACTCCCTATGAAATGTTATTTGGGCGACCTCCTTATGATAATGTGTGCGTTTTTGGTTGCTTAGCATATGCACACAATCATGGACATGGAGGGGATAAATTTGTCAGTCGAAGCAGACGGTGTGTTTTTGTTGGGTATCCTTTTGGAAAGAAAGGATGAAGCCTATATGATTTAGAGTCCGGCATGTTCTTTGCATCAAGATATGTTACTTTTTTAGAGCATGAGTTCTCGTATGCACACAAGGAAGATGCACAGCCGAATAAAGCACAAGGCCAATTTAAATGTGGAATAGGTGGGACAGATGAGGTGTTGGTGCCATCCACTTATTTACTTGGACTAGAAAATGGCGAGATGGAGGCTAACCAGCGAGGTGAACTTGCTAAAGAAGGAACCTGCGTAGACCTGAATGCAAATGCTGGTGAACCCATGCATTCTTGTGACGCCACCACAGAAAATGCAAGTGAAGACGGTCCTGATGTCAGGGGGGTGGTGATATTGAGCAACAGTAGCACTTTGAATTTCAACAGCAACACTCTGAATTTCATTTGGGGCGTGGGCATCGATAGAAACAACAGTCCACAAGGTTGAGAGATTATGTGCTTCACACCACACAACGCTTGAGTCCCTCTCCGTGTCCCTTTGCAAGCTCACTCGGCCAATCACATTCTGCAGGTAGTCCTTATCCCATAGATAACTATGTGAACTGTAACAATTTTTCTTGTTGACATCGTGCTTTCTTGGCAGCTATTACTGCAGGAGTTGAACCAACTTCTTTTGCTGAG